GATCTCATCACATTATTTATCGTAAAATATAAGCTGTAAAAGGGATTAGTATGTTTCAAATTAGTTGTAGCATGTTAGGCACAAGTATTAATTTTATTGTCTTTATTTAGATACTTTGGATATGTTTTAAGGAGGTGTACAGATGCCAAATCGACAAGGGGAGGACTGTAATAGTTACTGTCATGTATTAACTTGGCTAGGATATGTTCCTCAGGACTTTTTAGCAGAACCAATGCCATATTTAATTTTGTGATATGATATTAGCTGCCAATCAGTTGGAAGGGGAGGTTACTTGGGAGTGTGGTCTGCATCCAATATATAAATGGATATTCTGGCAAAGCCCTCTCTCTCTCTTGATCCTATATGTGTCCTGTCTGACATCCAATTCTTGGGACATGAAAAGCCTGTAGACAAATGCCTTCCTGCATATTTTGGATTTCCAGCTACTGCTTTTTCATGAATGAGCAGCCTGCTACTTGACCCACAAATGTGGGACTTGCCAACCCCCATAATTGTTGAGCCATTTCCTTGAAGTAAATAAATCACTCGCTGTCTCTGTGTGTTTGTCTCTCATATATATTAAGGTGACCAGATGTCCCGCTTTTGGCGGGACAGTCCCAATTTTTAACAATTTTTCCCATGTCCCCCGGCGTTTTTAAAAAGTCCCGATTTTTGGAAAGAATGCATGACAAGCTAGGGCATACGGTTTTCGGCTGCCATGTGGCCAGGATATGAGTTTTATCAATGGTGTCCCGCTTTACCAATGTTAAAATCTGGTCACCTTAATATATATACACACACACACACATCTCTGGATAGATCTATGCTTAATTCATTTGCTCCTTAAAGAATACAGTCTAAACATATGGTGAAATTTATAAGACAGGATCCATATCTCACATCATCATACATAAAAAAGAACATAAGATGGATCAAAGACCATTGTAAAACTGAGCACAATAAAGATCATTAATGAAAAAAATATGGGCTATATCATAAGGGTCCTAAAACATGGACTGGAATTTCATAAAAGGCAGATAATTGTATGTATCAAAGATGTCACAAAAAGAGAAATAGAACCCACAGACGCAGAAGAAAAGTTTTGTCAATGATTGTGTTAGTCTGGGCTGAGTAGAGAAACAATTCCAGAGACACTCACATATGTAAGAGAAAACTTCATGTGTTGCGTGAGTCTAAAGAGTAATTGTATATTAAGAAAACATCCCAGCCCAGTCCAGATCAAGCCCATGAGTCTGATGTTGGTCCCTATGTCTAATCCCAGTCTATAAATTCCTCTTTAGACTCACGCAGCACATGCGATGGCAGCACATGCGATGGCAGCACATGCAATGATCCTGAATGCAGGAAGATCCCAGGCCAGTGGGTAGAAAGTCTTGTGAAATCAGTGGCAGTGGAAGTATCTCAGCACTGGCACGGGTCTCCACATGGCTCCTCCAGCTCTTTGACTGTCTCAATAGCAAGAAAGGAAGGCAGAGCAAGTGTGTGTCCTGCCTCCAGGGAGGAAGACAGGAGTTCCCAAAATCCTCAGGAGAAGGCCATGCCCCCACAGAGGCACCATTGGCTATCACCTGATTGAAAGGCTAGCCTCTACCCCTTCACTCAAGTTGATAGGAGATTATGTGACTGCCACAGTGCTATAAAAGACAAGAGAGTAATCTCTCGAATTTATAGAAAACTTTACCTCAACAAGAAAAGGACAAGGATCTACTTTTAAAATGGGAAGGGAATATGAAAAGACACTTCACGAAAGCTATTTAGGCAGCCTATGAACAACGCTGAGGATCATGAGCGGTTAGAGCAGTGGTTCCCAACCTTCCTAAGGCCACGACCCTTTAAGACAGTTCCTCATGTTGTGGTGACCCCCAACCATAACATTATTCTCATTGCTACTTCAAAACTGTAATTTTGCTACTGTTAAGAATCGGGTAAATCCTGTGAAAGAGTCATTCAACCTCCAAAGGGGTCACAACTCACAGGTTGAGAACTACTGTGTTAGAGAGATGAAAATTAAAACAACAGTGAGATAGTATCTCAATCCATCATAATAGCAGAGTTCAAATAAATATAAAACAATGGATGCTGGCAAGAGTGTGGAAAGAACGGAACCCTTATAAATTGCTGGTGGGAGCATAAAATGGTGTAACCACTGTGGAAAGAGATGTCACTTCAAAAAGCTGGGAATGGAAATATATGACACAGCAATCCTTTTATGTTGTATGTATATTTTAGGGAAATAAGAGCCATGACTTCAAGACATACCTGAACAGCCATGTTAATTGCAGCACCATGCATAATAGCAAAAAGATGGAAACAACATAAATGCCACAAGTGGACTAATGGATAAATAAAGTTCGGTACACGGACACCATGTAATACTATGAAAAGTTAAAGAGTAACAATGAATCTATGAAGTACCTCATAACATGAATGAATTATGTTGAGTGAAATCAGTTAATCACAAAAGGATAAATATTATGAGTTCCAATTGTAAAAGTCAAGAAAAGATTTTCACATTAGAAAGAAACAGTCTTGATGGCTACCAGAGGTGGGAGGGATGGGGAGTGGACACATTTTAATTTGAGTAAAGGAAAGGGCAATATGCAATAAAGAGGAGAGTGGAAAAACAGGCATGGGAAGACACTGGGACATTTGCAAAAGTTAAAGCAATGGATATAAATACTGTTTTATATATATATAATACTGTAGTAATGGTGATCTATGCATAGCTGCATGTATATATACATAGGCTGACTAAGTGTAGAAGGGAGAGTGAGAGGAGGTCCATAAATGTATATAAGTTTGAAAGAGGTTATTTATACATGGTTATTTACCCTGGCTGCAAGTATATCCATGGACATAATGAAGCATATCTGGAGAAAGTTATAAAAACCTCTTAGATATAACCAGGCACTTTGAGGAAATGAGTTGCTGGGTCTAGGGAGTCAGGACCATAGTTCTGGAGGATACCAAGATCAACTGGAATACTATAACCCCCCAAAGATGATGCTCTACATCCTATTCTGGTGAACAGTGACTAGGGACTTAAAAGCTCATGAACAGCCATTTGAGGTTCAAATATTTGTCTGAAAATCGAAGACACATGGAAACAGTTAGACCAATGGATTAATGGGTCATTCAAATGTCAATCTCTATGAACCTGTGACAGAAGAAGTAAATGGTACCTGGCTACCTCTGCCAACTATTCTGAAAAGGATAATGTTGGAAGGTTCAGGATAGAGGGGGAAAAACGTGGAGCAAAAGTCAAAATCACAAAGACACCAGCCTAACAGATTGGATAGAGACTGGTGGAACCCCCAGGACTATGAGCTGTACTCACCCTTCAGATCCGGACATGAACTCACACCCATTGTCCAAATTTCAGCCAAACAACAGACAAGTCTATATAGGGAACAATACCACTATGGAGTTACATCTACCTTAGAATGATTGACCATTGGAGATCAGAAGGCATTCCTTACCTAAGGGTAAAGGTCAGCTAAGTTAGGGAAGAAGGAAGAATGGCAACAGGAAACACAGGAAGAAATGAAAGGAAGGATGCTATCTTTGGGGGACAGCAGCCAATGAGGTGAAACAAGCGTGCATAAATTACTGAATTAAAAACTGGTTTACTCTATAATCCTTCACCTAATTCACAAAGTTTTTGAAACATCTGGTAAATTTTAGACACTACTGCTGTGTTTATAACCCAAATGCTACTTATTGCACCATAGTCTTAAAGTAGCTTGGGGGATTTACCTAGATGATATGTAATTCATTGATAAATAAAATACATGTTCTCCAGAATAGCTTAGAGTATTTATAGTGATAAAGCAAAACCACACATTTGTTTACAAATGGTTATTTTGGGATTGCTTTGATTTTGATGGAAATATATATTTGTCCCAAAATTTGGACACTGGGCCTCTAAATATTTACCCACAGGAGCAACTGCTGTGATTTACATCTTGAAGGTAGCTTCTATAGCACGCGCTCTCTCTGTGATATTCCTCTGAAAGGGCATCATGAAATCCTCAAAGTCCACCTCATAGGTGAGCTTCTCTCGCAACAGTTCTCTCCTCCGGATCAGATCTGCTGTGGTGGGCTCAGGACTCCAGATCTTCAATAAAAGCCATATCCATGTCAGGCACAGGAGGACATGCAGTATATATGCTCATATCAAGACAATTTCCATAAGTTAACTTTAAACTATCATATTGACTCTCAAATATAACTGTTCCTTTTTCTTACTGGCTATAAAAATGGTTGCATAAACATAACATTTTCTGATGATAAACATCAGTACACGCCAGCTAAATTTTTGATCACCCTGGGACCAGTTGGTGTTCCCAAAACAGGTAAGCAAAGGAATGAGAAGACCAATTGGGTTTACTACCTTCATGCCTCATGGGGGGTCAAAATTATTTTCATAGTGGAAGGCAGAGGAAGATGACAGCCTTTTAATTCAATATTTTTTGATGGATACTGTAAATACAACTCTTATCTCCCCACCCTCCCAAATACCTCCATCTCTTTCACTGTAGATATTTTAGGAGGCTACTGATTGGCTGGCTAGGAGACATCAAATAAGATAGCAGTAGTGGATACAAAGGGGATAGTAGAGTTGGAGAAACACTAAACACTAATATTAATAGAATCTGGTGACTAAATTGCTGTAGGAAATGTCACTGACCAAAAGAAAAATCAATCTTTGAAGAATTAAAATTAGTATTGATATACAAATAAGGGAACCAGATTTTTGGGGCTAAACAAGATGATATTAGTTGGAAGTACGTATATACTCGTGTATAAACTGAGTTTTTTGGCACATTTTTTATGCAGTTTTTGTGGTACAATTAGGTGCCTCAGCTGATATTCGGGTTGGCGTATACTCGAGTATATACGGTAATTGTGCAATCTGACAAAATGACACCTACCAAAACAAACAAACAAACAAAGTTTGGTCATTAAAAAGCCAAATAAAACAACACAAAATGGCATGTTAGAGTACTTACCCTCCGTGGAACAAATGTGATGTCCACTTTCTTGGTATAACCACTAGTAATCAAAGAATTGAGATAAACCACATTATCTTTAACAATTGTCTTTTCCTCCAGTATTTCTGGTACAGTGTAAAATGAAGAAAGTGGTTCCTGGAAATAAGGCCAAAAAGTTTCTATCAATTAAAAACAATGTACACCATCTAATAATTGTTGTACATGTTCTTCAGAGACCAAGTAAACAGCAAACTCTGAATTCCACTATAGACAAAATCTAAATTCACTACCATCCAGTCAATGATACCAATTCTATACAAATCATGATTTGAGGTGAAATACAGGCTATTAATATAACTTTGGGAGAAGGGAAATGATTAATTTAGCTTAATTATATTTGGTTAATAACATCAAGTTACCTATCACCTAAGTTTTCAAGATAGCCATCCTTCACCAGTGGCCTTGGATTCCTACTAAAATTATAGTGCATATAGCAGGAACTTTACCTGATTAATTCTCATTCAGCTCCTGTCATCATTCCCTAAGCCCGCTATGTTCACCACTCTCTCTTCTCTGCCTACCATCCTATGCATTTCCCACCACCTGCATTTCCTCAGGCCTTTAAGCTCTTTGCAATTGATGACATTAAAAGTTTTCCTTCCACTGGCCTGTAGCTGCCAAAGGTCTTCAGGGAACCTTGTAAGCACAAGATGATGCTCTCGACGTGGGGTGGATGTAGTTTCCCTACCTACGGCAAGGCCTGATGTCTCCATAATATTCCCTTTGTAGTTTAGAGGTAACAGAACCCCTCCAAATTACCAGGAATATCAACCTGCACCCTCAGGAACTTTTACAGTCACTTTTTAAGATATCCAAATTACAAGTTCAGTGGTATGTATTAAGATTTCTTTGGGGAGAATGTCAGTAATGACAGATTTTGGAACCAAGATGAAGGAAAATCCCGCGTTGCTTCATTTCTCAGAAGAGTTTCCCTACCACCCTGCTGTTTGGTCATCTGATGAAATCAATACAATTTAGGATCAAATATATAGATTGTATTAGTTCCTGTTTCAAGATTCTTACATTATTTGGATGAAGCATGGGTTCTTTTTGCAAGGAACACTTTTTAGACTTTTATAATTATAACTTTTCCTGCTGGATATTTCCTTGGTTGTTGTTGATAGATGCCCTCAAGTTGGTTCCAACTCATAGTAATTATACACACAGAGAATGAAACAATTCCCAGTCCCGTGCCTTCCTTGCACCTGATTGTGCTATTTGAGCCCCATGGTTGGAACCGCTGTGTCAGTCCATCTTATTAAGGGTCTTCCATTTTTTAGCTGTCTTTTCACTTTACCAAACATAAGGACAAATCTCACTTGAGAATATGTCCAAAGTATGTGAGATGAAGTCTTATTATCCTTGCCTCCATAGACTTACCTATCCTGGACTTCATATACAGAAACACATGAAAACACAAACTAACAAATAAGAACAACAAAGTAAAACAGGTAAAAATCTCAATCACAAAGAAAGCAGAAAGTATTAAGAACTGGACAAATTTAAATGGGTCATGTGGTAGATACATAATTTCACATCAATTTGTTAACTAAGTACAGGGGTGGAGTCTAGCTTGTCAATCAGGTCACAGCCTCATGAGGCCTCCTTGTGAGCCTGGCCTTCTCATGAGGATTCTGGGAACTTTTTCTCTTGCTCTGTTTCACCTTCCTGTTGAAGAGCCACACTCAGAGAGCTGGAGAAGCCACCTGGAGACCCACACCAGCACTGACATGCTTCCACCACCATTGGATCCACAAGACTTTGCACCCACTGGCCTGTGATCTTCCTGCATTTGAATTGTTGCATGTGACTGCATGAGTCTAAAGAAGGATTTTGGGACTAGTATTGGACTTATGGGCTAATATCAGACTAATGGACTTGATCTGGAAAGAGCTGGGACATTAATTTATATACAATTACTCTGATATTAAGCCCTTCCCTATACATATATGAGTGTCTCTGGACTTGTTTCTCTAGTCTACCCAGCCTAACACAGGTCATAAAGGAGATTAAATGATAGGGTGTTGCAATTTTAACCTAACTGCATCTGCAACAATCCACTTTACAATATCCTTCACTAGCACCATAATTCATATGTATCCATTTTTCTTAGCTCTACCTTATTCAATGGTCAACTTTCATGTGCCTATTTGGCTTGAGTCAGGCATACCTTGGTCCTCAAAATAACATCTTTGCTTTTCAATACTTTAAAGAGGTGTATGTAACAGGTTTATGTCATTTAATCAAATGACAGACCTGACAGTACCTCTCATGAGCAGTGATTGTGGATCCAAGCAAGAAATCCCTGGCAACTTCAATCCTCTCTCCGTTTATCGTGATACTACTTATTGGTCTAGCTGTGAAGACGCTGGCTTTCTTTACACTGAGGTGTCGTCCATACTAAAGGCTGCAGTCTTTGATCTTCATCAGGCAGTGCTTTAAGTTCTCCCCACTTTCAAGAAGGAAGGTTGTGTAATCTGAATATTGCAGGTAGTTAATAAGCCCTCCTCCAATCTTGATGCCACATTTTCCTTCATATAGTCTAGCTTCTTGGACATCTGCTTGAAAAGTATGGTTGAAACAAACAAGTCTGATGCACACTTTTCCTAATTGGTATGATCCCAATGAAATGTCCTAGATTTCTCATTCTTCTCAGTTATCCACAGTTGTGATCCAAACAATTGAATATATTTTCATAGTCAGTAAAACACAAGCATCTTCCTGATGTTCGCTGCTTTAACATCTGACATCAGCAATGATAAACATGTCCTCCTCTGAATCTGACTTGAATTTCTGGTGGCTCCGTGTCAATGCACTGCTCCAATCATTATTGAATGAGCTTGCAAAATTTCACTTTCACAGGATAGTATTAAGATTGCTCAATAATTTCCACCTTCTATAGGATCATAATTTTTTAAATGGACACACATACGGGTCCTTTCCGATCAGTTAGTCAGCTTTCTGACTTCCAAAGTTTTGGAAGAGGTAAGTAAGTGCATCCATTTGCGTTACCAGCTTCTTGAAACATTTCAATTGTTATTCCATAATTTCCAGGAGTTTTTGTTTTTCTCCCTAATGCCTTTAGTGCAACTTGAACTTCTTCCTTCAGTACCAATAGCTTCTTATTACATGCGACCTCTTGGACAGGTTGAATATCAACCAGTTCTTTTTGGTATAGTGACCATGTGCATTCCTTCCATCTTCGTTCGATTCTTTCTGTATCATTCAACATTTTAATTTTCTCTATAGAATCTTTCAATATTGCAACTGAAGGCTTGAAGTTTTTTCTTCAATTCTTTGAACTTGAGATATATGCTCAGGATGTTCCTCCTTTTTGGTTTTCTAACTCCAATTTAGGTACATGTTATTAAAATACTTTGACTTCTACCCTTCTACAGACTACCCTTTAATATTTTCTGTTCAGCTCTTTTACTTCATCCCCGCCCCGCCCCCCCCCATTTGATTTAGCTGCTCTGTGCCCAAGAACAAGTTTCAGAGCTCTTCTGATATCCACTTGAATCCTTTCTTTTTAATGACCTTTTACTTTCTTTACATATGATGACCCGGGTGTCATCCCACAGGTCCTCAGGTTTCCTCTCATTAGTGTTCAAGGGGGCACATCTACTTTTGAGATGTTTGAGAAATAAGCCAGGATATACTCAAGGTCCTATATTTATTCTTGAGCACTTGTTTTCCTTTTCTTCAACTGCAGCCTGAACTGACATCGGAGCAATTAACGGCCTGCTCCATAGTCAGCCCCTGGCCTGGTCTTGGCTGATGCTGTTAAGCTTCGCCATCATCTCTGGCCACACGTTTAGTCAATTCTATTCCCGTGTATTACACTACTCATATGTCAGTTTGTTGTACGGTGGTGGCTTGGATGTTGCTTGATGCTGGAAACGATGTCACTGACATTGAAAATAGCAGCAGAGTCATTCAAGGTCAACAGTTTTCAGAAGAGCTTCTAAACTAAGAATAGACTATGGCAAAGGAATAGATTGTCCAAACAACAGGGGAACACTGTCAGATAAACTACTTAATGAGGCTGAAGAATTGCATATTGTTTTATTCGCCTTGTATGTGTGCCCCACCAAACCATATTTTAAGGACGTCTATTGATTTGTAGTTAGCCAACATTGTTCTTACCTCCTCTTTCTTAATGTCAGGGCCTTCAGTCTTTGGTTTGGGTGCTTTGCTTTTTAGTTTTTGATTGTCTGCTGGTTTGGGCGAGTTATCTACCTTTTCTTTAATCAGCTCCATTATTCTATAATCAGCATATGCCCTTGCGATATCCATGGCAGCATGCCCTAATCAAAATATAAATTTAGAGTTAAAACAACAAATTTATGATAAGCCCTGTAGGAAAATCTCAGTACGTAAGCCCTAAGCATGTGGCGATTGCTAAAGCAAACACTGTGTGGAAAGTAAAGGCTAAGTGAGATATTTCCTAAGGTGGAGTGACCTCTAAAATTCCAGGATATGAAAAACAATTTAATGACATTCTCATTTATTCTTTTTCTTAAAATATTTGAGCAGGTTTCTTAGAAAATTGATGGGAAATATTAAGATATGTTCAATGGGGGGTTCTCTTTCCACATTTACCACATTTTCATTTAATGTGACATTTTTTATTAGCTCCCATTGCCTTGATGTAAGGAAGCAGAGCTTAAATGGACTGGGGAAATTGGTGGCCACAAGTCCTCTATTCAAATGGCTGAGCATTATGTCCCTTATATTGTCATCAAGTTTAATATACTGTTACTTCAGTGGTAACATGAGGGACACAAAGGTATTAATAATATCTCAAATCAAAATAAAGAAATGAGTTACGATATAAGAAAGTAAAACTTCCATAAAAAGTGTTCAAATTTTTTTGTAAATGATTTTTCATCACCATATATAGTATAGGTGATATAAAGTATCCCGATCTTATGTTTCCTAGAATCAATATAATTTCAAATTAGGAATTATTCTGCCCAGATTACGAAGGAATAAGAAATCTACAGAGCCATTCAACTGGACTGATTATGAGTAATGAATAGTTACAATAGTGCGAGAGCTCAGTGTAGCTCCTAACCGGTACAAATCTCCAAATTGATGGTTACTGTCACATGATGGACTAACTATAAAAATTAAGAGTACGTAAATAATTTTCCATCTTTTGAATTCAGTGATAAGAAGTTGGGGTTTATGAGGGATTAGGACCATGTCTCAGAGGTCACCAATGTCAATAGGTCTGATGTAGTCCACAAAAGTCATGATAGACTATCCTAATTTGGTGAGGAAAGGATGGGGTCTTAAAAACTCATGAACAACCACTTCAGGTGCAATTCTTGGTCTCTTTTCATCTAAAGTAAAGAAAGGAGTGATGAAAATTGAAAGACACATAGAAGCAATTGGTCCCGTGGATGGAATGACGACACAAATATTGTCTCTATGCCCTTGCGATCAGAAGAACTAGATGGTGTCCACCTATTATTACCAACTTCTCTGAAAAGGATCACATTCGAAGGTCCTTTATAGAGTAGGAGGAAAATGTGCAACAGAACTCAAAATCATGAAAGAGACTAGGTTTACTGGTCAGATAGAGACGAATGAGACCCCAAGATTATGGTTGTCAGGTCTGAACTGAACTCACCTCCATGTTAGAATAATTAATCATTTAAGATCAAAAGGGCAGCATGTACCCAAGGACAGAGGTCAGAGGGTTAAAAAAGAAAGAGAAGTGGAACAGGAAATACAAGAAGTGGGATAAGTGACACTACATTGAGGGACTGCAATGGATGAAGTGAGTCAGAATGTGTATGAGTTATTAAATGTAAACCTAGGATCAGCTTTGTGAACCTTCACTGCATTCACAAAGTTTTAAAGAAAGTTTAGGCTATATCTTACATATAACACATATCTGTATTTTATAGTTTTTCTTTCCAGTTAAACTTTTTAAAAAAATCAATTTATTGGGGCTCATACAATTCATCACAATACATAGATCAATTGTGTAAAGCACATCTATACATTTGTTGCCCTCATTATTCCCAAAATTCGCTTTCCTCTTGGGTTCCCGGAATCAGCTCATTTTCCTTTTTCCCCCTCCCCCTCCCCATCCCTTCCTCCTCCCCCCTCCCCCATGCACCCTTGATAATTTATAAATTATTATTATATCTTATATTACACTGCCCGGCATCTCCCTCCAGTTAACCATTTTAAAAATTTTATTTTATAGAGGTTTTCAAGCCACAACAGATCACAAGTATGAAGAGCTAGTCTTTCACCCCAACTGGCTTAAGTAGTACTCGGTATAAGACATACTCACCTTTGCATACTCCCTAACCTTTAACTCAGAGTTTTGTTTGAACTACAATGTGGTGCTATAACAATAAAATTCAGAAGGTTCAGGATCTAACATTAATTCTTCATTTCTAACCCTAACCATCAATAATATGAACACATACCTCTTCTATTTTCCATCTGAAATTTAGCACCGATATCAAGCAGGTATTTTACAGTATCCAATCTACAGCTCTCAATCGCTCTACTTAGAGGAGTTGAGTTGTTGATTGAAGCTGCATCTATTAAAGCGCCAGATTTAACAAGAAGTTCAACAATATCTTGTTGGCCTGCATGGCATGCAAAATGTAGTGGGGTCCACAGAAAATTGTCGGTTGCATTAACATTAGCCCTATAACATAAGGTAGATGCACAAACTCAACAGAGTGGCTATTCCATGCACACAAGGTTACAATTGCAAAGTAAAATTTAGTCCAGTTTTATCAAGTTTCAAATCAGGGAAGCTTTAAGTTAAATAAACTCTGCCATAATTCTTCTTGACATCTTTTTATTCTGCAGCACTTTAAAATATTAAGTTTATTTATGGATATACACAGTTTGCTTAATTTTTAAAGGCACTTAGATTCTGGGGGTAACCATTTTTCCCAAAGTTGAAACAAAGAAAAATTACACAACTGAATCTAATGAAGATAAAAGATTACAGGAAATATGAAAGTTGTGCCATCTGATTTTGTATCTGCTTTCTCTGCAGGTCATGAATTTTAAAATTCTCTTTTCATCATTAAAATTATAGGCATGATAATGTATTCTTTAAAAACATAATCCTTTTTTCTGGCAATTCACTGTCCAAAAGTTTAAATTTTATTAATTGCCTTATACTTCTCTTGATAATATATAAATTTGAGCCTTTCTTTGGAATCAAAATGATAGTGATACTAATAACAATATTTTTTATCAAAGCTATCCCAGCTGTCACTCTCCTAAGAATAAGTACTTTGAACCTTTAAACTTACTTGTCGACAACTTCTGTGGGATGAGTCTCGTTAGCTCCTTATTACATAAATGAGAAAATTGAGGCACAAAAATGTTATCTACTCCAGGCTTCTACCATATATGTATGGCAGACACAGGAATTAAACCTGAGCAACAGTTTAAGATCCAAAAAAAGTAAAAATCTTATATTTTGATCGTTTTAAAGTATTTTCAGGTGACCTAAGAAAAAGACTGCACTTGCTGAAGTGGGGCAGTGAGTTTAGATGGTTCAAACCAGGCCTTTCCTTCCACCATGGTGCAAATGGTTAATATACTCAGCTGCTAGCTGGAGTATATACTGGTATAAATGGTTAATATACTCAGCTGCTAGCTGGAGTATATACTGGTATAAATG